TCGCTAGTGATCAGGTCACTAGGACGAGTTACAGCGTTCAAGTTATTACCCTCTCAAAGTCGTTTCATTTGATATGCATGAAGGCAGGTAGAGAGTGCTTGAGTGGGTGTTAGGCGTGATGACGTCACGCGAGTCACTAGTGATCACATCACTAGGCCGACTGACAGTGTTCAAGGTATTACTCTGTCAAAGACGTTTCGTTAGATATGCATGAAGGCATGTTAGAGAGTGCTTGCGTGAGTGTTAGGCGTGATGACGTCACCTGAGTCAGTAGTGATCAGATCATTGGCCTGGGCAATAGCTATCAAGTTATTATTGTGTGGACGTTTCCTTTGATGAACATAAAGTATTTTCTTGCTTCAGTATATTTTTTCCGTAGTGTGTGCTTTCTAGACATTTGTTCAGAAAGAATTTCATCATGTATTGTTTACTTTTTTTTGAAATAAACACTGCCTATGATACTGTGCCAGGATGTTTCAAAGGCAGTGAAGCAATGTCAAACAGGCTGAAGTATATTTGCTAAAGGACGAGTGGCATGTTGCAAGCTCTTATATTGCAGCCTCTCTGCTTATGTTCAGCCCGAAAAAGCCTTTATACGCACACTGAGATTTTTTTCTTTCAATCACAAAGGGCACAGCTATTTTTTTAGGTATCCTGCAGGAAGTTCCTTGCTAGGTTCCAGTACGTACATATGTTTCGTCGTCCACGATGCTGTATTGGTTTTACTTTGCCAATACTTTTATCGTTTTACGTGTTACAGTCGAACTCAGCTACAATGAATGCCACTTCAATGAAATTTTCGCTACAATGAAAAATTCATGATTCCCTGTTGGCAGTCCATAGGAGTTAATGCGTAAATATTGTCGCCACAAGGGAACACTTTTTCTTCGATAGTCCCACTTAAACGAAATTTCATGATGCAATTCCAGACTCAGACACTTATTTTTATGCAGTAAACCCAATCTTTAACATTTTGATGCATTTTCAAAGCAAGACTGAAAGTTGGGCTAGTTGGTGATACACTATGGGCAGAAACAGCGCACAAACTGACGGGACGAAGAGAAGAGACAAAACAAGCGCTGACTCTCAACTGAAGAATTTATTGAAATATACAAGTTATCTGAACACATTTTGTGTTCTCTTTTCTTTGTCTCCGTGAGTTTGTGCACTGTTTCTGCCCATAAAGCATTTTCAAAGCCTGAAAATGCGTCAATGAAGTCTAAAACACGCGTTGGCACCACCAGAAACCGCCGCTGTTCAGCAGGCATGGCAGCCGCCATTGCTCGATAGCGATGGCAATGAGACTGCCCTGCTTTTTCCACCTCGCTTTGAGTCCACAGACGATCCGAAGCTGAAGATTAGTCACTCAGTTCACGGTTTCTGTCACGCAGCTGCTGGGTGCAAGAGCGGAACGATGCCTTTTCCGATTCCAATGCTTATCATTATGTTTGAGCTTGGTCAATGTGGTAACTAATCAGAGTGGCTGTTCGTTCGCATTATCAACAAAATCAGCTAACCGCGAGTGATGGATGACAAGAATGGCATAGAATAGTGCAAAAGTCGCCGCTCCATGATACCCTGCCTCCAACTCAGCGTTGTTGGATGCTTTTGACGGCAGACAGCTGCTGGTGTTAACGTGTTAATGCAACTGCTTGGTTATAGGCATTGTTTCAGCATGCTTTTCACCATGGTGTTGCTATGCATGGGTGACAATCACGCCAGCGACGGTTGCTCGAAAAGAATAGGAAGCAGCGGACGTTTTTTTAATTTTGAGAATTAAGGTTTCTTTGTTTCGCTAGCTCAGATCAGCTACATTTTTTTCTATTTCACTACAACGATATTTTCGCTTCAACGAAATTTTTGCCGTGCCCCGTCAGTTTCGTTGTAGCGGGGTTCGACTGTAAAACAACTCAACGTACACACAGAGCAAGTGGAGCAGTACTTGCGTAACTTCCTTTGTGCATCCACTTATCATATGCCAACTTTTTCTCACATGAGTAGGCTCAATCTTTCAGCAATTTAGATGCTCATATACTCTTGCACAAATTTGAACAATGGCTGTCAGTCGTGAGCTCTCGTTCCACCGGCATGCTAGCAAATATTTTATTTTGTACTCTGCATATTGCAACATGTAACATGAAAACTTGAAGCTCGCAATGGCGGCTTGTGACTGTACACTGATAGCATTCGACCATAACATCTTTTTCTCTGTTTGCAATTCCTTTTTGGAAAGCTCTTTTTGGAAAATGAAGAGGTCAAGTTCACAAAAGATTGACAAGTTTTTCTCTCCTGCTCCCAAGAAAGCCTTACATGTTGCAATCGAAGGCACCAAACAGGCCACCTCATCAGCAACTGTCCCAATGCTGCGACTGGACAATAAATACATAGCATCATGTAGCACATCACTACCACTGCAAAGCGAATGCTCACATCTCACCACTCAATGTGACCAAACTGCTGAATTTCATTCAAGTGAAAGAGTGGGCGTGATATCCCCGAGCATCTCCGTGAAATTCTCGAGCGACATAGGAAAGTTAATCGGCAGGAAAGTGGATGAATACACTAAACGGCGTTTGTAAGAAACACACTGGTGCCCTTTGGATAACTAGTTTTCCATACTCACTTCACAGGAAAAACGACAAAAATGAGAAACCATACATGAGTCGCATTAAACAAGTTCTGTTGGCTTGTCCTCTCCAATTATAGCAGGGGCCTGTACTGCAAGTACTGCACTGTGTTTGTAACAGGTGCAATGGGAGGCTACCAGAAAAATCTCCCCCTCCAAAAACTAGTCACCAAGCCACTCACGTCCTTTGCAAAACTGCTGAAAAAGAATAGTGATCTTCTTGTACTTGAAGCAAGAAAGTACCACAGAGAAGCAATGCAGGCTGGGAAGAAGTTTTTCGCACGTGTTAAGGCTCCCAAAAAAAGATGTAGCCAACCAAATCAGCAGTAAACGGCTAAATCAAGTGAAAGACAACCTTAACCGCCTGATCCCACTCATAAAGTCAATCGTCTTTCAAGGCCGCCAAAATATACCATTTTGGGAACATCGAGATTACAGAAGCCTTAGTGAGCGGTCGAATGAGTTCTCATTGACTACAAATGAGGAGAATTTCCGCAAGCTTCTGCGTTTTCGAATGTCAAGCGGTGACACGGAACTTCAAGAGTGCCTTGCCAGATTATCATCTCGAGCCACATACATCAGCAAGACTACCCCAAATGAATTAATAAAGGTGCTGTGCAGACGAGGTTCTTGCGACACTCATTCAGTGGGTGCATGCATCGGGCATCTACAGCATTATGTTCTATCTATCTATCTATCTGGTTATTTGGTTTTTTTTTTTTTTTTAACTCCTCTGGATCTTCCTTTATCTCTGAGTTCGCTTCCTTGCACACTCAAACTTTTTATTTTCAGACATGCAAAACTCTGTGCACTCAATGTACATTTTTGTTTCAGGTTCAACAGAAAGATAGTGGCTTACCTGAAAATCTATAAAATATTGGATATGCCAAACCATAGTACTGAAGCTAAAACTTCACTACTATTTGCGCACTCTTGTTGTTACTTACTCATGCAACAGCCAATTTGAAGTTTTTGTTGATCATATGACGTTATAATGAAGAAATGCTTTACACAAAGCTACATAATTTACCGTACTTACTCGATTCTACCGCGCCCTCGATTGTAACGCGCACCTGATTTCCACCACGAAAAAAAAAAAAAAAACGTAAGACATCGATTGCAACGCGCACCCATTTTTTTTCGCTGGCCCGCATGATCACACCACTCGAAAAAACGACTCCTTTCGGGAGCGTCTTCCATTTAAATATGAGGTACGGGCGAAGCTTGTGCCCATCTGACGTGTAACAGAGCATTGCCGTCACTGTAGTTTTACCGTGGACCGATGTCAGCACGCGAACTTGCTTCGCCCCCTTCTTCTCGACGGTTGTGGTGCCAGGCATGTCGAAGAGGCGTCTGATCGGCATTCCCGATTTGCTTAAGCAGGTAGTCGTTGTTGCGCCGCAAGTTTAGGACGAACCTCTGAAAACTGTGAAGCTTTTCATCGTACTCCTCCGCAAAACTTTTCGCATATGCATGTTCCCCTTCGGAGGGAAAAGCCTTTCCTCTTCACAAAGTTAGTTAGCCATCACCTGCTCGCTTTAAACTGGCTCCGCATTAGACCTTTTTCTAAGACTAATTGCATAGCCCGCACTTGGAGCAGTTCTGCCGTCACGGGCCGCTGTGCCGCTCGCTGCTCAAGCACATACTCGCCGAACAGCTCTTTATTTGCGGAAACCGACCTTGCTGTGGTCTACTGAAGCCTTTGCGTGAAGCTTTGCTGTCGAAAATCTTCTGCTTTTGTTTCCGCCGGTCCCGCACGCACGTTTCGGGAACTCCGAACGACCGCGATGCGGCCCGATTTCCGTCCGTTTCTGCACACGCGATGACTTTTCTTTTAAAAGCGGCATCGTGGTGCACTCGAGTTTTTGGAGTCGGCCATTCCACGCCGTCGATGCTAATGCACTACTAGATGACGAACTCCTCAGCACACGTACGAAGTGCCGCACATGAGAAACACATAGGCAGAAATGGACGACGCGCCATGCCGACGCACGTAGGGGGCGGCCATTTTAGATTTGCCGATGGCAATAGATTGGCCGTAATTTTTTTGCTCGTACTCGATTCTAACGCGCATGCGATTTATGAACTCGCTTAACCGGAAAAAAGGTGCGCGTTAGATTCGAGTAATTACGGTACATGCATGCTTTAGCACAAGCACAAGTCTGTTTAGGTTATTAGCACTTTTAAACACCAACCAAGTGGTCTAACATTGCAGTGTGTACCAGTCCAGGGCTAAAGTCTTGCATCGTCAATGGTGTACCGCACAAATACTACACTGCAACAAAATAAATATACAGCCAAAATCTAGATAATTTTTTCCCAAATGCATAAATATGAACAGTGCAGAGTTTAATCATGCAGAGTTTAATCTCACCAATTCCAGCTTTCGCAAAGCGATTCTCAAGCTCACGCATGTGATCCGAACTATCATCGTACTCCGCACCACGCATTGCACCTTTCCTGTGACACAGTTCGAGGAGTCTGTAAACAGAAAAGGATTGGAAAAAAAATTGGAAGACCCTTAAGCTTCGCCCTTAAGAGTTGAACACGATAGCAATATCCTGTCCCTAGTGCATACTGCAGCCACTTAGTGCATACTTTTTATGGTGTCATGTTATTTGGGAAGTTTACATTGTGGATTACTACAATGTAATTAATAAAGTAGAAAATGGCTTGTGTCAGTGAAGCTCTTGCATGTGCCTGTATTCTGTGTAATGGGTAGAATGCTTTAAACCACGAGCAATCATGTCCGGGAAATCTTTTCGAACTTGCTATGCACCCACTACATGGTTTTAAAAAAATACATGCACGTGTGCCTTTTGTGATGGGTAGCCGGCTTTAAACTACAAAGTCGTTATGACATTTACATGTTCTGACGCCCGATGGCAATGTACACTTGTACGCCAAAGTATCACTGCAATATTAGTACATGTTGCATTGTGAAGCCTGTCTACAGGACGCATGTGTTTGTAAAGCACGAACATTATTTTGCCTGCATTTCCAAGCAGAAAGTTATTTTAACTGTATTTACAAGCAGACGAGCGGCTGTGTGATAAAACGCCTGCTTGTCACACGGACAGGGTTGGATCCTCACTCAAATTAGGTAATTTTTATTATTTATTTTATTCACATCTCTCGATTGTTCAGTCGAGCACAAGATGACGATTTTTCGCATCTCAATCAATGACGCCCACGCCAGCCCAGAGGCTGGAATTTTCGCGCAATGAGCTCTTTAACACTATCATGTTAAAAAAATAGGCGTAGGGCAGCTGCAATGCAAAAGGAAATAGAATATGGCATTCATGGGCTGCTTAATGGTCTACTGCTGGTTTCCAAATTTAAAAAGTTGAATATGTACAGCTTTACCACTTAAACAACTTTAATTACTGGTATGTGACATTTAATGGCACAAGAGCCAAATTTGATCATCAAGAAGCACCAAACCTAAATGACTTACAGAGACATTTTGTTGCTCTATAAACTGTCTATCCATACCCACACAGCACACCATTTGGCAGAATAAGGAAAAGCAGAATTTCAAACGATGCAAGAAAAATCATAACACATATTTTTTAACAACTAATCTCAAAAAACAAGAGTCTACCTGTAAAAACCACTGGTTAAAAAAAAAATGCCAGTCAAGAAAACTCGTTTTTTTTTCCAAAATTACATATTATACCATTTTTATTTGCTTTCACAAATTCAGTTTTTCTACTTTCACAACAAAAAAAACTATACATTGAATTAAGCTTGAAGTAGGCTAAAATCATTTCGAAGGAGCACAAGGCGGCTACTAAAAATGAAGAACAGCTCGCTCATGTCTAGAGTCCCCTAAAAATTGTCATGCGACCGCTCGCCGTTGCATTTCACATGAAGAGTTCACCAAAGCCCCATGCTCAAAATAACCATAATTGCCACGTTCCTACGATAGAAGATGTCATATTAAAAAAGCATATTATTTTCGCATAGATGAGCTCTCACTTATACCTTTACATGCGTTTTTCTTAAGATCCATTTTTCGGCAACTTCTTGAGTTTGGACATTGTGATTTTGGTACTTCTTTGATAGCCCGACTGGGATTAAATTTTCCCAACATATTCCTTAACATGTAAAGGGTGCAAGTATCTTTTTTTAAACCTTGATATTGCCTGTACAATTATAACAAGCTTGAAGTAAGCAATTTCTACATGCTGAAAATTCTGAGAATTCTCACATTACACTTTTTCTTGACCATCAAAATGTTTCATACATATTTTCTTGATGGTTATTTGCATTATACAGTAAATATGGAGGAATATGAGCCATTATTAGCCATTATTGGCTCGGAACAAAAAAAAGATTAGTGGCATAAAAAATTTGTCTATAAATAAACTATACTTTTACACATTGTCATGACACAAAACAACAACTGTGTCACTTACTTTGAAACTACTTACGTATTTGAAATTGGCATAAAGACCTATATATACAGCAAAAACTTCATAACCCTAGGCCATAGATTAATGCAACTTTTTTTCCTAATTACTTTTCCCCTTAATCTGATAATTATGTTTTTGATTGATGCATCTGCTTCCTGATTGATTGATATGTGGGGTTTAACGTCCCAAAACCACCCTATGATTAAGAGCGACGTCTTAGTGGAGGGCTTCAAAAATTTCGACCACCCGGGGTTCTTAACGAGCCCCTAAATTTGAGTACACGAGCCTACAGCATTTTCGCCTCTATCGAAAATGCAGCCGCTGCAGCCGGGATTCGCTCCCGCGACGTGCGGGTCAGTAGCCAAGTACCTTAGCTACTAGACTACTGCGGCGGGGTGATGAGTCTGCTTCCTGGGTAGCAGTTCACCAGCACAGGAAATTTTGGTGATTGCTCCCAGGTGATCTTCCGATTGGCCCAAGTCATCAGAAAGACCACCAGTGGCATGGCTATTCCATTTACACCAATTAATGGAAACAGGTAGCTAGGCAACAGCACTTTCACCAGCATGCAATGTAAATATAGAAGAATACATACTTTCTCCAGCAGTGATCGGTTCTTAGTGTGTATGGGTTGCCAACAATGATCAGCAGAGCTTTTGCCCTTGTGACAGCTACGTTGAACCTCTATAAAATGGTAAAATAAAGAGGGGTATTTGTAGAAGCTAGAACTTAGTGGCAGGAACATGATATTGTCAAGTACTATATATAAGGAAAGCCAGGCAAACCTTGCGGTTCTTGAGAAAACCAATGCGGTGCCTGAAATCATTCTGCAAGAGATTTTTGTCACTACGAACTGTCGTGATGATCATGGCTAGCCTTTCTTGGCCTTGGAATTCTTCAGTAGAGCCAACAGTTACTCCCTCAATTCCACGTTTCTCCAACACAGATCTGATTTTTAAGACCTATAAGCAACAAATCATGAGGTTATAGACCCAACTTTTCAGACACAACCAAGTTTGAAGGAGGCAACATGATATTCAAAAGGTGTTGCACAAATGTAGGTACAACTACCGGTTATAAGAACCAACCACCTGACAATGAACCGTAAGAAACCAAAGAGAAACTGAACATCACATAATAACCTTTTTTTTACTTAAACTGTAAACAATATGAATAATTGTGGAGTCTATGAGCTTCATTCATATTTCTAATAATAAAAGAGAAAACAGCCTATTTCCTAACTTTTTTTTAATATGTACTTACTTCATTAAAACAATTACAACAAATGTGAAGAGCATAGACAAAACAGATGAAAACAAAGGATTTCACTGTTTTTTCTAATTAGAATCACTGTCAGTTCTCAGGTGCTTATCATTGGTAGGATTACTTTTGTCTATGCTTTCCAAAGTGAATGACTACAATGATGGTGAAATGATACACAGTGTTCTTACAGGTATGAGAGGGAAACATTCAAGGGCAAATAAGGACTTTTAAGACCCACCTGTCAAAGATTTTTCAAGTAAGCAGAGTAGCACCCAGTGTATGTACAGTGATGCTACCGAAGTCTGCTGATTTTGAGCAATTTTTGGAGCAGCAAAATTTACATTTTGGAGCATTTTAGAGCAGGAAAATTTTTCATTTTTGGGCAATTCGAAGGAGCTAACTTTACATCCTGGAGAAGAAGCAAGTAGCACATTTACATTCAAAGACTTGATTAATTATTTTAGGGCTCTTGTGAAAAGCTAGAAATTTTTTGATAAATTGCAAACCTCACGACGCCAGAGATCTTGGGAGCACTCTTTATTTCAGTTGATGATGCAAAAATAATGTCGTCATGCTGTTGGGCATTCTAGAAAAACTTGTTCAGTGATTATTTTCGTAGCGAATGAAAAGAATACTGGTTGAATAAAGTAGTACTTCATGAAATAACATTGTGAATGCACTCATGTGGTTATCAGCAGATTTAGTAGACAAACGCTAGAGACTCGCACAGTCGCATATGCATTCCTCTAAGATGAATTCAAGGATAAAAAAAACGTTACTTTTCTTCACAACTTATTATATTGCTGGGTGTAACATGACATCATTAAGCTAGTCTCATAATGTCAATCTCCTCCCACGCTCGTTTCTCTGTGCTGAAACTGAACGATTCAGCAAACCTCGTTTTCCTTTTAAAGCAGTGTCTTATGTGGCTACGGCGTTCCCCCTGTATATCAAAAACACCCCATAGTGTCCCCTAGAAAGCAGTGCAAAACGAAAAAATCCTCAAGGGGCGACATCACCCTCTGGGTGTGCGACGGCAGTGACGGTTCCATTGAACAAAGATTACAGGAGGGGATTGACACAGTGTAACGGCATTTACAAGAAACTGGACTATCCTGCTCGGTGGAGAAATCTGAGCTACAGCTATATCGCCCTACACTTAGAGGTCGGCCACCCAAACAACATCCCAAGCACAGGCACACGCTGATATAAAACTCACTACAAGCGACCGTCACGCCATACCAACCGTGGATAAAATACGAGTGCTAGGTCTGATCATAGAAAGTAAGGGTACCAACGGAGAGACAGTTCCCAACATTGAAGCCAGAGTATCTAACACGATGCGCCTCATTAGGCGCACTACCAATAAACACAAAAGCATGAAAGAGGCTAGAATCATCCGTTTGATCCAATCATTCGTTCTAAGTCACATAATCTACACGGCGGCGTATCACCGATGGTTCACTGCAGAAGTCAAACCTCAACAGCCTAATTAGGAGAATTTACAAACAAGAGCTAGGTTTGCCTCAAAACACCAGCACCGAACTCCTCCTTCAACTTGGTTTACACAATACCCTTGAGAAACTTATTGAGGTGCAACAAATCTCCCTATTCGAGCTATTAGCCAAAACTGAGCCAGGCTGCCAGATTCTATGTAATCTCGGTATTTCTTACCACATTCAACACGGAGACAAACACGACATACCACGCCTTATCCGTGCCAAGCTCACAGTACCACCCATACCAAAAAACATGCACCCTGAACACAACAAGGGCAGATGTGTCGGTAGAGCCAGAGCCTTGTCAAAGATGTTTGGGGGGAACCATGAGGCAGCCTTTGTCGACGCAGCACGCTACCAGGAACGTCACCGCTTCGTGGCTGCTGTCGAAGACCACACACAACAATGCAAAAGCAGTGCGACAATCATCACACGGAACATAGAAACGGCAGAGAAAGTGGCTATCGCGATGGCCATAGCCCACACTAACGCCTCATGCGTAATCAGCGAATCGCAGACAGCCGTTCGAAACTACACCCGCGGCAGAATCTCCCCCGAGGCATTGCGGATCTTTAGTACAGGCAAAATTCACGAGGCGGACAAATACGTGCACATCCTGTGGTTCCCTGCCCACACACCACTAGGTAACCAAGAGGACAGTTCGAATCAAGCGGCGCACAACGTGGCTCGAGGTCTTACGTTCCGAGTCAGGTCAAACGAAGCGGCCACCCAAACAGACTTTTCTGCACCGGTGTGGGAACGGGACGATCGGCTCACTAAATTTAATGACATAACTCAACACTATTGACTGAAAAGGCTGGAGTACCCTCCGCCTCACCCCAAGCTAAATCGAGCCCAGTCCGTTCAGTGGCGGCAGCTACAAACAGCACATACACGAACCCTGTCATCATGGCCCCACATATGTCCCAACATCTATAGTTCTAATAATGCCAGTACTGTACCACCAGAGCCACTCTTGACCATATCCAATGAGAACGTTCACCATTAGTCAGCAATTCTGGGGTCGCGGCCTCCAATGAAGACCTTCAAGCGCGTTGGCGGACTACGCTGCTCAGTTCGGGCCTGGACAAGCAACTTTGGGCGATCCAGCAGGCCAAGGAAGCTGTCGGGAGACACGGTCTCTCCATTGGCCCCTAGGTGGGAGCCCATCCCAGCAATCTGCCGGAAATTAATAAAATCTGCATCTCTCTCTCTCAAGGGGCACCTTATGTATTTGCCAAGGACAACTTGAAGGTGAGAGCCATTTTGTTTTTATCGTGATAGCAATTATATCGACATTGTCATCTAAATTTTGTTGTCGCCAGGGGCGTAGAAAGAATTATTTTTTTTTTGGTGTGGGGGGGGGGGGCCTTTATTTGAAGGGAAAGAGGCAGGCAAGTGGTCATTTTGCGCAATGTGTGCCAGTGGCTGAAAAAAATTTCGGGGGGTGACATTCTTGATGTTTGCCCCCCTGGCTGCACCACCGGCCGTCATCACCATCATGTTTTGAGTACTGTCGAAATTATTAACATCCTCCTGCGCATCGTGCTCCACTTGCAGGGGGACGAACGTGGCGACGAACTACACCCATCTTGGAGGGGGGGGGGTCAGGTTTTGCCCAAGCAACTATACACTTTGCTTCTAAGGGCATGGTTGCAATCACTGGTGCGCACGCTAGCTCAGCAGCCGCGAGCGGGCGATTCACATACACTTCTACCTGCTGCAGTCTCATTATGAAGGGAGTGTTCAAAAAGTGTTGCTTTCTTTGAAGTGGTCGCATTCTCGTACATCAGCTCGTATATTTGTACAGTTACGTGAGATCAGATCCAAATAAGTTAGCTGCCAGTCTCACTTTGTATATATAACCTTACAACTTGCTGCGATCGCGTTTATTGCTCTACATTTGTGGTGCAACTGCAACTCTCTTAGCTACGTACAGCCGCCCATGTTTATTTTTGTATTTTTGTTTTTTACCTGAATGCGCAATCGTCAACTGTCCGCGTTGATGAACGCGAAGCACAGTGGCCAACATGAACAAGAATACGCACATACGTTCGATGAGCAGTCATGTGCACAGTGCACCCAGATGCACCTGTCCTTGCTAGGCTATTCCCGGCAATGAATACCCCCCTCTTCTTTTGAAGACCTGTTGCTGCCAATTCCCTGACTTTTTTTTTTCTGACAACTATCATGTTACAGAAAAAAAAAACCTGTTTCCGCAGAATGGCAAAGCAACAAATCCGATTGCAACAAATAGTAAGGCTGGCAGCCAACTACTCTCTTAGATCCGATATCGCGTAACTCTGTAAAACAGGGAGAGATGGTCTTCTCGCTGTCTCTTCGTGCTGAGAGCGCAGCACGTGGAAGGGTTCACAAGCTATTTGTGCTGATGCCTGCCATGATCACGCGCATGTATAGCCATCGCGACCACGCCCTAAAGATCAAAGTTCACAGCTGCTCCTAGAGCGATCACAGCCTTTATGAAACCGAAACTGCAATCATACTGAAGTTTTAGCGCACACACACAAGAGCACACAAACAAGGAATTCACAAAGACCAGCGCAGGTCCTTGCTTTCCTTTTGTCTGTATCCTCGTGTGTGTGCGCTAAAGTTTCAGAATGCAGCAGAACCAACTGGCCCATCTCCCTGTATAATTGAAACTATAACCCTTTCGATCAAATCAAAAAGACAATATTTCAGACACGGCGCTTGATGGCTTTTGCATTTCGCAGCTGAATTCTGGTGCTGTGGTGCAGTACGACTGCTGATAGACGAGTTTGGCGCAGCAGGGGTGGTTTGGCGCAGGATGACACAGGTCAGCAAGTTTGGCGCTCAGTGGCGCAAATGGCGCAGCTTTTCTACCCCTAATTGTAATACCCCTTGTAAATCCCATGCACTAATCTATGTTATTGTTCTATACATGATTAAAAAAATGATCTGTGAGGAGGTTTATTAGCCATTAAAGACAGCGATGAGATAGCGTGAAGAACCGTCCAGCAATCGGCACAGCATTGAACCGAAGCACGAGCCGAGAGAGCTGGGCGTTGGCGATGCTGCTTGCTGCAGGCACATCTTCTTCTTCACAATCGCCCCCGCTGAAAAAGGGGCCATCCTGGCGACCTAAGAAGTTTCAGGGAGAGGCTCATGATACGGTTTTAGGCGGGAAACATGGACGATGTCACGTGCACGCCGGCGCATGT